TGTTCTTTTTATAATATTTTTGATTTTAGGAATCAATAGGATTATTAGTTTTTATTTTAAGTTTATTTTAATTATTTTAAATTATTTAAATTTTATTTAGTTTGGGCTTTAAAATGGGCTTTAGGGACATTATTGACAATTTGGTGTTAACCCTAATTTGTTCCCTATATATACATGTGTTGCCTTGTTGGAAAAGGGGAGAGAATGAAAAAACCTAAGAGGAGTGAGTGTCGTTTGCCGTTATTTAGTTTTCTTCTTCATCCATTACTATTGTTTGTTTTTCTTCATCGTTTACTGTTATTTCTTTTCCTTCATCTATTACTGTTGTTTCTTTTTCTTCATCTTTTACCGTTATTTCTTTTTCTTCATCTTTTACCGTTATTTCTTTTTCTTCATCGTTTACCGTTATTTCTTTTTCTTTATCTATTACTGTTACGTTTATATATATATAATTTTTAAATTGTTAGAGTTTATATATATAAGATTAATTTTTGATCGAATTATGTCGATACGATGTTTGCACATTTGTGTGCATGACGCGTGACATTTGTGTTAGTTCGATCTGGTTGCGATGATCGCATTTTTGTGTGAGCAATAATACTATTTTTTGCTTAATTTCTTTTTCTTTGCGATAAATTTTGTTTCGTCCGATTTAGATCTGGTTGCAATGAGCGCATTTCTGCGTTAGCAACATTGTTGGGTTATTTGGCACATTTAAAATTCATTATTGCTTTATTATTATTATTATTATTATTATTATTATTACTATTATTATTAGTATTATTATTATCATTATTTATTATTATTATCATTATTATCATTATTATTACCATTATTATTATTATTGTTATCATTAATTTATTAAAACTTGTTATAATATAAAAATCTGTTTTTTAAAATAAATAACATTAACATCTTTTCCAAATTAATATGAAAACCTATTATTTTTAAGAAAAACTTTTTTTTAGATAAATTTAAAATAATAACTAAAATCTTTTTTTTTAACTAGAACCGTTATTTATTTTATTTTATTATTGTTCAATTCAAATTTCATTATCATATTGTATCTGCTCCTCTCATGTAACCTCGCAAACTTAACAATCGCTCTTTAAATTCTGCCTTTAAATTTCTGCTTGCATGGTTTCAATTATGACATTATCTCTCTGTTTGCATGATTCAATTATCTCACGCGTTTACCATTATTTCTGTCACATTGCACACATCCGAAGGTTAGGTCTAATTGTTTGGCCGCCGCGCCAATAGTCCGTAAAACTTCACACATTCAATTTCAAATCCTCAAAACTACAAACTACAAACCCTAATTTTCACAAATGCCTCGCCGCAGGCAAAATTACAATTTTATCCCTAGCATTAGGTCAAAGAGCCGCCGCGCTCATTTTAGGGTTTCCCGCCGTGGAATCCCTAATTTAACCCTAATTACAACTTAACATTTCAACGTAGAAATTTGGAGTTCCTAGACTCCATGTAAGCGTGTCCTTAAGACGCGTTTATTCCCCTTGAGACCTTGACCACAGTCGAGTGTTCTCTAACCTCCCTTTTGAGGGGAACTACGATTACTCTGATTCCACTCCCGTAAGGATACGTAGGCACAAGATGCGATGTCTTGCCGAGTAAACTTAGAATTAACCCCTTAGGTCTCTTTTTCTCACTTTTAATCCCTTGTACATATACCTTAAGCAAATAAATAAAGCAAAATAGTAAACATCTGAACAAAAGGTTCCTGTAGAGTACTACAGAAGTTTAGGGTGCTAATACCTTCCCTAAATTTAACCAACCCCCGAACCCTAGATCTTTCCCCGCATTGTGTTTACGATGCAAAATAGGTTTTCCCTCTTTTGACCTTTTCCTTCGGATAAATCAAAGAGCGGTTGTGAATTGAATTGCGATTCAAACTCATTAATAGTTTGTGATCCTATTTCCACCGCAACAGATTGGACTTGACGATTTAAGATGAGTAAAAAGCTTCACTCGGGGTTTGTCCTTCTAGTGATAATCCATTTGTTTATCAATCTTGAATGCATTGGTATGGATTTGGCTTCACGTATTAAACCATTTGGCATACACTAAACATTTTCCTTTTAAGACCTTGCTACTAGGTATGAGGTTAAGATTGTGACAAAAATATTATGGTTGACCTCCAAACCGTTGTCATCCATTGTTTTGAGGTATCTGAGTAGGTTGCATATTTAGGAATGAGGTCCAACGTGTGTTGTATGGGAACATGTGATATGAGAACACGCGTATGAAATGGTTGTCTTATAACTGATTGATGTATTTGGACACTCGAGTTACTACAAGATTGAGGTTAAATATGGGTCATTGACCGTGCTTTGGTTATCCATGTCCTTTGATTGTAGATCATAGGGTCACCTGCTACTTATGAGTGAATGTGTGTGTATATATATGGGTGGAAAAACAAGCTCGTTTTGTTGCGCATGCCCGTTTTTCCCCGTCATTTTTTGCAGCCCGATCTAGAATTGTGAACCCACGCATTCAAGTATGCACACCCTGCATCGCAAAAAAAAAAAAAAAACAAAGCAGACGCGGGTAGCCCGCCGATATAAGTAAAAAAAATGGAATTTGGATGTTTTGGGTCATGGTTATACCAACCCATTAATAACCAAACTTAGATTTACTACTACTTTTTCCTTCTCCTTTTCCTTCACGGTCTTATTTCCTTCATGTTCACAAATTGTTGCACTGCTACAAAGAACTTGGGTTCATACTTCCTTTTTGTTTGCAAATTTTTATGCTGCTACAAAGAATTTGGGTTTCTATTTCACACCTATAGGCTAAAAAGGATCCTAGGTAAATATCTAAGTAAGAAACTAGTTTATGCATATAGTTAAGTCAACCAACCCTTCATTCATGTCTTGTAAAAACTTTATTATGATTCAATCAAGACAAAAATAAACAACTCAGAGAATCTTGCTTTCATTTCTTTCATTTCTCTTTTCTGATTTTGAATTGAAACTTAAAAGGCTTAAACTTTAATTGAATCTTAAATTTCCTTTTTCTCAAATATGAACATGGCCTTGTTTTGGTAAAAACCGTGTTACCTAGTTTGTTTAAGAATTACTTACTTTAATTTGGATTGTAAAGTCTTAAATGTCAATTTATGTTTGAGTCTTTAAATTTAATTAATACATAAAGCTTCATATGAACTTTGAAACGACACTACTATAACCATTACTAATTGACACAACTTTTCAATCTCGAAAGAGTGATTCAACACATGGATGATTTATAAGCACTTCAAGTATATTCCTTGAATCTTTTGAAGTGTATTAAGACTTTGGAAAATCATTGCCAATAGTCACTACCTTTATCTTCTTTTTGCAACGACATTAGAAGACTAGGTCTCAAGAAGATGCTTTTGTTTCCATTTCCTTTTCTCATAATACTTTTCAGCATGTTGTAGTGTGAATGCATGATCTTCAAATTAGGATTAATATGAAAATAACCTTTAAGAAACAATATCACAATCAAATTGCACATATCTCAAAAAATTATTAGTTCAATCTTGGATGTATATGAATTCTGATTATCCCCCCAAGGAATCCTAACTAAGTATAAATTCAAAATCAATGGTTGTTGCTCTAACAACGAGGCTGAGTATAAAGCTTTATTAACAGGCCTTACGATCTTGTTAGACCTGGAGGAAACAATAGTCGAGATCAGAGGCGACTCAAAGTTAGTGGTGAATCATTTACCAAAAGAATACAATTGCATCAACGAGAACTTAGTAATGTAATTTGTCAAGGTGAATTCATTGCTGAGAAGATTTGACATAGTCGACATTAAACATGTGCCTCGAATTGAGAATCAAAAGGCCAAAAATTTAACAAAGATAACCTCAGGGTATAGAGTCTCCAAAGAAAAATGGGAAGATCCAATTAAAGTCAAAGATAAATTGATTTTGACTAGTGTGTTTTTCCCATAATTGTCAAAGTCAAAACTGATGGGAGTAGAAGAGCTGAGAGACCTAAATCTTAAACTTTTTGAAACTTTTACCATTGATTATTTGTCTAATGATAAATGGCGAAGATCGTTTATAGACTTCCTGAAAAATCCTACATGAACAATAGATCAAAAGATCAAATTTAAGACATTAAGTTACATCATTGTTGGAAATGAGTTGTTTAAAAAGACATCTTAAAGTGTTTTACTTAAGTGCCTCAGCAAAACTGAAGCTTATTTGGTAATATTCAGTGTCCATAGTGGATCATGTGGTGCTCATCAAGAAGACCACAAGATGAAGTTGTTATTGTTTCGACAAGGGGTATATTGGCCAACAATGTTGAAAGAATGCATAGAGTTTGCCAAAGGGTGTCAAGAATGCCAAAAGCTTGTAGGGATCCAACATGTCCCTCCTATTGAGTTACACTCGATCATTAAACCTTGGCCATTTAGAGCCTGGGCATTAGGTTTGAGTGGTGAGGTTAGACCTACATCATCTAAAGTTCATAAGTACCTCTTAGTAGGTATTGACTATTTTACTAAATGGATCGAAGTAGTGTGTTTGACGAATGTCCCGAAGGAATGCATACTAGTTGAATGTGCTAATGCCGAGTTCAAAGAAAGGGGGTCATTTTCCTAAAACATGTTCCCTGAGACCAAACATAAATAAAGTCAAGTACTGCAGATTTTATCGAAGCAACGACCATTACATAGACCATTGCAATCATCTCAAGAATGCACATGAGCTAGCTCGCGCAGAGTGACGAGGAATTAGTCTCTGACTCGGGCCTTTCTTCTAGAAAAAACTAAGCACCTAAAATGAACTTTACTATACATTTTTTGATCTCATTCTTATAAAATGTTTTCTGAGATCAACCATCCTATAATAGATTACACAACAAGTAACAACTTTTTTGTACCTTAAGCAAACTAAAACTCATGAAAATGCTAAAACCTCTCATACTTAATTACAAACTACTATCTGATTCATTCATTCACTGATTTCAATTTCAACATGCTTATGCAGAAGAAATCTCAAGCTCAGCCCACCAAAGTGGAGAAAGTTTAGGAACTACAAATTCAGGCGACATTTTCGTTATCTCTCTCAATCTCTCACTCACTTCATTCATACTCGGTCTCTTCTCCGAATCAGGATCCACACAATCTTTTATCAACTCAGCAACTTGTTCCACCTGATTTTCTTGGTAAGATGCTAGAGTTGCATCCACCATCTCCTTGAGAGGTTTGTCCCATTTTAGATAATGTGAAGCCCAATTTTCAGCTGAACTATTATCTAGCAAATAAGGAATTCGACCAGTTACTATCTCGAATAACAAAACACCAAAGCTATAAACATTACTCGCTGGATTTGTTGATTGCATCATCATATCAATATCAATGTCTTTTCTTCTATCAGGTTTCTTTTCAGATGAATCTGCTTCGCGGGAGAAACTCAAATCCGAGATTTTTGCTGCATGATCATCGGTTAGATGGACGGTTGAAGAACTCAGGTTTGTAAGGGCCACAGGAGGGTCTAGTCCATGCATGTATTTTAGGCAGTAAGCCATTCCCGTCGCAATTCTAAGTCTCGGCCCCCAGTTCAAGTGCTCGGCTTCTTTTACTGCAAGTTCAAACATGATCAAGTAAATCAAACATCAACGCCTAAACAGAAACAACTTAATTAAGCGCTACTAACGAGTACTCACCGTGTAAATGCTCGAATAGCGTTCCATTTGGTGCATATTCAAAAACCAACATTCTGGTGAAAGGTTCTTCTTCTTCACAATATCCAATAAGATTGACAAAATTCCTGTGGTTCACTTTTGATAATGTGTCTATCTGAAAACCATACATAATTGCTTATATAGTTAAGTCACAATTGAAATATGCTTAAATTTCAGCTTAATATTGATTACCTTCTTCCTAAACTGAGCTTCTAAATTCTTTGTCCAAGTCTTTGATAATGTCATAGAAACAGAAGCTACGGCAATTTCAACTCCACTAGATAAAGTTCCTTTGTACAATGTACCGATCGGGGAATTACCGATTACATTACTAAAATCTTCACATGCTGCTTCAAGATCTATTCTCTTTAGCTTTGGCACACCTGTCACAAGTGCTTTTTGAAGCTGTCCACTTATTCCAGTAGTCCAAGGTTTGACAATAGATACCTTGTTGGTTTTACACAGATATATACCAATGGTTGAAATAACAAGAAACACAGCGCTGCCGATAATAACTCCGGCAAAAATAGGCAATTGATTCTTCTTTGATGGTATACTTTGAGAAGGAGAATCTGAAGCGTTTTGATCCGGAGAATCAGAAGCATTTTGATCAGGAGAATCTGGACTCGTGACCGGTGGTGCTTCAGCGACCGATGGAGAAAGTGAAGGAGAAGGTCTATAGAGAGGCGAAGTATGATTATGACGGTGATGATAAGGATGACGTTGTAGTTCGGGACGTTCCCGCAGGCTCCTTGGACCTTCATTTTCACGTACATGCCTTTAAAGAAAAGAAAGAAAGTTCGAGTTTTAGAATTGAATAACCGAGGTAACCTTATAATAGCATAAAATCGACACAAAAGAACTTTGTTTGACGAGTACGAAGTGAACCATTTGGTGGATCGTTCTGAACAAGATGGCATGTTAGCTGCATTGGTTAACTGGTTTTCATCTACTTGACACTCAGAAAGCACTTTCAGTTCATTGATTTTCGGAGAGAAACCAGCAAGGTGCTCATTGTTGTCTAGCAAACTGTAATGAGAAGAAAACGAGTATATGCTTAAACGACAGTTATTTTGAACAGAATCGAGTAATTAAAACTGAACTGTAAGAATGTCATCTTACAGAATTGCTAGTGATGAGATATTATGACCAAAATTAGCATCTAAATTTCCACTAAAGTTGTTATATCCCAAATCCAAAATCTCCAATTCTTTTAAGCCTACAATTTCTTCAGGTATGGTTCCATAGAAAGAGTTGTTCCTTAAAATACTGCACAGAAAAGTTTGAAGGAAAAAAATTAAGGAACTTCTTAAGACAGTGCAAATCAAGTACTCGACAGAAAAAAGTGCTTACATAGATTTTACGTGAACGAGGTTCATAAGCTCTGGTGATAGAGTTCCTTCAAGGCAAAGGTCTTTCAAATTCCTGAAAAACAAAAAACAATTTATCAGCAACAAATTTCGAAGACTCCGCAACAGCATCACAACTGTAATTTTGAGAAACAAGAAAAAATATGCATATTCCTCTTCTTTTTTTTCTTGTACTACACTCTACGCCAACGCCAAGGTTTTAAAAGACGGTCCGTTACTCCGAAAACAGCTGCAACAAAAAGGTATCGAAAGGTGCCGATACTGATACTGTTAGTCACTGTTTTTGTGATAAAGATCAAATTATGGTTAATCCACACCGCGACGACCACAATCGGTGTCGCAACACCTGTACCAACCGAAATAGCGAGTTTTTTACGCGACCGTTATTTAAAACCTTGGTCTACACACAAAAGGGTCAACAGATAGCAAAATGAATCAGTACTTACAAGACAACAACTTCTCTATCTGAACATTCAACTCCAAACCAATGACAAGGATCAAGAGAAACTTGATCATCAACCCAATTTGATAAAGCATCAAAAGGGTCACTAGTTATTCTCTCCTTCAACTTCAAAAGAGTATTACCTATACAAATTAACCTTATCTCAGACTCTAACCAAAAAGGTGAATAATATAATTAACAACACTCAAGAAAGATTAAACTATTTCCACTAACCTTCTTCATTCAAAGAATAGCAGCACAAACTCAAGTTAAGAAAAAAGAACCACACCGCTATAAGCCACAAAGCTGCAGAAAGACTCGTGTTCTTGATCATTCTTGTATGTTTTTTTTGTTGCAAGAAACAAGCTCAGTCACAATGGAACAAGACTAAAAACTTGTGGAAGGAATAAAAGGGAAAATGAAAATGAAGTGAAAGTTGAAGTAGTAAAAGACAAAAATGGTGATATCTAAATTCTAAACCATGCTGTGACAGTTTTTTCTTAGTTACGAGTTGCATGTGAATTTGGTGCATTGACCCTCAAAAGACTTTAATAAACGCGTTTACTATTAATTGTTACCTCATTTATCAAATCTTGTTTATTTGGAAAATAAACTAGTAATTTTTACTATATGCTATATTTTGTGTTTCATTTTTCAAATTATCTATTCACATAAACATAGTAGTAGTGTGCAATCAATGGTTGTAAGGAGTATTGAATAAATGGATGGTTGTGTTTTGAATCATGTAGATAAGATGAGGTGAGAATGAGATGATTCTCGTGACTTGACTTTTCTATATGAGAATCATCATAATGGTACATCAAACGTCACTGTCTTTGTGTTTGTCTCTCTTTTACTAGTTTGTTTGTACTTTGTAGACTTAGTAAGAGACGCCTTGGTGATAACGGCAACTTAATGGCAAGAGTTTAGACAAACCATGAAAAAGCACCCTAATGTTACTTATTTTTTCAAGGTGACTATGTGTTAATAAGTGAAGGAAGCTTTTATCTTACAAGTTATTTTTGTATTGATCAAGTTAAGTTCAATTCAAATTATAAAGATTACGCGTAATTTATCTATCCCTTTTGATTTATATACGGTTATTCATTAATTTTAATGATTTGTTTGTTTGTTATAACTTAATCTTTAGATAAAGTTACGGTTATCTCCTTTGTTAAAATGACTCTGACATTTTCTGTAATTTTAAAATATACATTAATCTCTTCTAAATTTATATATATCAATGAAAATTTTTAATGGCAAACAAAAAACGGTAAATAAATGTCATTTATACTACAGTTTTGGTTGTCATTAAAAAATAAAGAGGATGTAACTGTTATTTTAATAAATCTCAAAGAAGATTGATGCATATTCTAAAATTAGAGGGATGTTAATGTTGTTTTAATAAACCTCACGAGATGCGTGGGTGTAATTTCCCCTAATCTTTCATTTAAAAGTTGATTAAGAAAATACTCTTTAAATCTTATTTTAGATTGAATCATTTATAAGGTAGGAAAAGGTTTTAAATTATAAGTTAAGAATCATTTATATAATATGAGTACATGAAAAATTTATTTATCCAGTTTAATTAAACTCATATAGTCATTCTAAGGAGTACGCAGAGAATTTGTTTACTCAATTCTACTCAAGTGTTTTTCAAATTCTCTAGAGTAGATATATTTGATAAAACTAGATAAACAAATTTTTTTTTATTAGTCTTTTATCATTTTCTTACTCATATGGATTTGTTAATATTTTTTAATGTGTATTGTTCCGGACTGACCAATGGCTAGGCATTACCTAATTCACTTTTACTTTTAGAACGGCTCAATTGTTTAAGTCTAATCAATTTGGGGGAGCATTTATCTTTCTTACCCTCCAACAGGGAAGGTTGACCAGTTTACCCCTGGATTAACACTTCTCCTCGTCAGTCCTTTCCCGTCACGCACGGCTCCACCATCCAAATACAACCAAGACGCTTGTGTCCGTAACTGCGTCTGTGCCCGTAACAACGACTAGTTATGGGCACATCTGCCCGTTCCAACGACTAGTTTCTGGCAGTTACCTATTCTTTGGGAAACAGTTATCTCGCCTCGAAAATAGGGACCAATGGTCAAGCGCTGGGGGCACTATAAAAACCCTCTCATTTGAGAGGGTCATTATCCAATATTCACCCTAATACACACATATTATGTATTTGCCTTCTTTCTCCCGATTCTTACTTTAGCATCGGAGTGCCTTGCAGGAACACTCATTCCTCATCTCTCATACCCAGCATCACAAGTGATTGTCTCTTGCCCACTTCAGGTTCTGATTAGTCGTCAAGATCAGTGGCGTCGTCTGTGGGAAACATGTTATCCCTGTCTTTTCTTCCATCATAGATTCGAGACCAAAACAGTTCTTCCAAATTTCGATCATGGCCAGTCGTGACAACACCCGTGATACTCGCAACTTTGCTTTCCTCCCCGTCAGCAAGACTGGTATTAACGGGGCAGCCACCTCTCTTGGCGGCGACGTCCTCCAACAAAGGGACGGAGCCACTGCTTCTCCATCCCCCGTTCGTGCAGAACTCAACGAGGGTTCGCTCATCCCGAAGTACCTGCCAGTTCTAGTTCCGTCCAGCACCGACCCGGCCATGGCTACCCTCTTCGAGGTTCTCAACAAGACCAACATCCTAATCCTCAATCAGAATGCGAGGATTGGAGCCCTAGAAGAGTCTAGTCGTTCAAGATCCCCTCCGTCGAGGAAAGAGCGTCAAAGATCACAGAGTCCTCCTCCCCGGTGCGAAAGAAATTGTCGGATGCCTCCGGAGCCAGAGACCTAGACTGTTAGAAAGTGCGGTCACATCTCTCCTCGGAACCAGCATTCCCCGCGACCTAAGAGGACTAGAAGAGATCACCAAGCAGAGTCCCAGCGTTCGTCTCCACCCATATCCAAGGGTCGGGCGCGAACCCCGTCTCTCTGTCGAGATCGCCATCCTACCTACAAACGGGGCACCCGCTCCCCGTCATGGTCCAGCAGCAATGACCTGGTACAAATGACTCCCCAATGATTCCATCACCTCATGGAGGCAATTGGGGAGAATGTTCTCCAGACATTTCACAGTCTCTCGCTGTCACCCGAAGACCGAGGCTTCCCTTAAGGCCATCATTTAGGGGAAGGATGAACCTCTACGAGCCTACATCGAAAGGTTCAACAAGGAAGCTGTCTAGGTCTCCAAGACCGATGGCATGAAGAAATTTCAGCTCGAGTGTGGGTTGTGTCCCCGCACTGAATTTGCTAAAGCTGTGGGCATCCAGCCCCCAACAACATTGGACACCTTCCTCCTTAAAGCACAAGAGTACATTCAGTACGAAGAGAATGAGGCTGCCAGTTCTGCCCGAGATTCGAGGCATCGAGAGAGTGCTCAATCCTTCAAGTACGACGAGCCCTCAACATCCCGTCGAGGAGATAGAAGATGCAAAGACCGTCCCCAGAATCCCTGGGACAACAAAGGGCCCTCAGGCCGGTTCCACGAGTATACTCCCCTAGCGGTTCTTGGGAAAAGATCATTTTTGAATGTTCCAACTCAGAATTCCGGCAAGCTGGAGTCCGGTTCCCCAAACAAATACCGTCCAAACCAAACACTGACAAGTCGAAATATTGTCGGTTCCACAAGAGCCACGACCATATGACCAACGACTGCATCCACTTGAAGGATGCCATAAAAATACTCATCAGGGACGAACATTTAAAGCAGTTCGCCAAACGGAAGGATGCTCCTCGACAAGACGCCCAGGAGTCCAAGAAGATCGAGGAAGAGGTGCCTTCCTCTAAAGAAACCAGCCTTCAGGTCCCTATGAGCATCTTGCGGACTGAGGATTTCTACATCCCTAAGAGGCTCAGTGCCCCTCCATATTTTGCCGTGCACAGCCCGTGAGAGAATTTCCCCTCCGCCATGGTCATCTTTGGAGGGGGGTTCAACAAAGTTACGGTAGGGTCCGTCAAAAGAAAATTCGAGCACCTTATCAGCAACAGCTCGAACCGGAACTTCACCCTCGACAGAGTCCTCGATGGAGCCCCTAATTCCAGCATCCCTCTGCTCGTGAGAGCCCAGATGCCCAATTTTAACGTCCAACGAATCCTCGTTGATCAAGGCAACTCAGTTGATATTATGTATTCTCAGCTGTTCTCTACCCTCCAACTGGACGAATCACATCTGACACCTTACGTGGGCTCAGATCTGCAGGGTTTCAATGGGTCGGTGGCAAAACCCTGGGGTTATGTAGAGTTGATCATAAATTTTGGGTCCACTGAAACAGCCAGGTCAATCAAGGTCCAGTTCCTGGTCATTGATTGTCCGTCGCTATATCAGTGCACCTTTGGGCGGCCAACTCTGGTCGAATTGGTAGTCGTGCCTTCAACAATGTACCTGAAGATGAAATATTATACTTCAAAGAGTCTCGTAGCGATTCTGCACGGAGAGATTGAAGCCGCGAGAAGATGTTTCGAAGCAGACTCCAAAGGGATGAACACCATTGTTGTCGGGACAAAGACTCCTAGCAAGTCCTTTCTGCCCAACATCGCTGAAGAGACAAGGTCGCTGCCCCGTGTCGATTCCATCAACCTTGACATCCGTTTCTCCAAAGATGACCAGAGGATCCAGAAGGCGCATGGGAAAGAGATTCAGCCATCTTCGAGCAGCCCATTCACGTCTACCAGTGGCAGTGAAACTTTTCATCCGATGCACCGAATTCCGGATTGAGAGTTCGAACTTGTCTTGCTCGGCGACGACCCCTAGCAGGGAGTGAAGATTGGGATCGGACTCCCTGAACTTGAAAGGAAACAACTGAGAGCCTACCTTCGGGAGAATGCATATTTGTTTGCATGAAGCACCCCCGAGATGCCTGGGCTAGACCCTGATGTGGCCTGTCACCATGTCACTATCAATCTCGCCGTTAGGGTTGTAGCTCAACGTAAACGGCGACAGTCTCCGAAGAAGACGAAGGCTGCCGAACAGGCTATAAAAGACCTCCTAGAGGCAAACTTTATCTCGGAAGCCAAGTACACCACTTTATTGTCCAATGTTGTACTCGTGAAGAAAAATAATGGAACATGGCGAATGTGCATTGGCTATACCGATCTTAAAAGGGCCTGCCCTAAAAACGCATATCCCCTCCCTAACATATATAAATTACTTGATAATTTCGCTGGATTTAAATTGTTATCTTTCATGGACGCATATTCGGGTTATAACCAAATACCCATGGCAAAAAGCGACAAAAGATACACAACTTTCATGACCGAATCGGGCAACTATTACTACAACGTAATGTACTTCGGCTTGAAAACGCTGGTGTGACCTACCAAAGAATGATGAACAAAGTCTTCTGAGGAGAAATCGGGATATGCTCAAAATCAATATGGAATACATGATCACGAAGTCCCACGAGGAATTCGATCACATGATCCACTTGAGAAAGGTCTTCGAGCAGGCCAGGAAATACAAGATGCGCTTTAATTCGGAGAAGTGCACGTTCGGGGTACGAGCGGACAAGTTTCTATCTACCGAACGAGGAATTGAAGCTAACCCCGAAAAGTGCAGAGCCTTCTCCAAATTCCTCATGCCGAACTCAAAGAAGTCCATCCAGTCCCTAAACGGGATGCTCGAATCGCTATCCCGCTTCGTGGCCAAGTCTGCCCAACACGCCCTCCCCTTTTTCAAAGACCTCTACAAGGAGACAACTTTCGAATGGACTGAGGAATGCGACAAAGCTCTCCCCAACTAAAACAAGCTCTGTCGGAGCCACCCGTCCTCTCCCAGCTAGATAACAGGGATACCCTTTATCTCTACCTCGATGTCACAACCGAGGCTGTCAGTGTCGCCCTCATTCGTGAAACACCAGATAGGCAGAAGTCCATCTACTTCACGAGCAAGGCACTGCAAGGGCCATAGCTGAGGTACCAATAGATAGAGAAGGTAGCCCTAGCTCTTATCAATGATGCAAGGAGACTAAGACACTACTTCCTGGCCCACACGACTGTGGTGCGTACGGACCAGCCCGTAAAGCAACTGTTGGGCCATCTAGATATGGCTGGTAGGATGCTCAAATGGTCGCTGGAGCTATCTGGGTTCAACATCCAGTATGAGAGAAGAAAGGACCTCAAGGCCCAGGCGCTGACCAACTTCGTCACAGAGATGACCCTCCCCGATTCCCCCACTTGCGGTGCGTGAAAATGGACAATCTTCGTCGGCAAAGACCTAGGGGCGGATGAAGTCGTCATCTGCACCGATTCTCAGCTTGTGGACCTCCATGTCAGGGGAGAATACCAGGTCAAAAATGACAACCTGTCTGAATACTTGACCCTGGTCAAAGAAAAGATGATAAAGTTTACCTCCGTAGAAGTGAAACGCGTTCCCAGCGAACACAACGTCTGAGTGGACATCTTGTTAAAACTAGCAAGCACGAAAAAGAAAGGGGAGAACAAATCTGTCATCCAGGAAGTACTTCCACGACCTAGCATTGAGAAAGCGTTTGCGACCCTTGACGTGCACGTCGTCGGTGACAGTCATTGCTGGATGACCCCCGTATGCAATTACCTTGCCAATGATGAACTGCCATCCGACCCCAAGGAGGCCAACATAGTGAGGCGCAGAGCTTGCTCATACGTCCTGATCGAAAACAAGCTTTACAGACGAGGGTTTTCCATCCCTCTCCTCAAATGTGTCGAGAAAGAGATGGTCGTTCACGTCCTGCGCGAGATCCACGAAGGAATCAACACCCAACATCTCGGAGGGAGATCCCTCACCAGGAAAGCTCTACGTGCAGAATATTACAGGCCAACCATACAACATGACATAAAGGAACACGTGAAGAAATATGACAAGTGCCAACGGCATAGGGACGTGCATTTGGCACCTCCCAATGAACTCAAAGCAATGTCCTCGTTGTGGCCCTTTGCCTGGTGGGGCCTGGACATGCTATGACCATTTATCGTAGGGTCGAATCAGAACAAGCACCTAATAGTAGGCGTAGATTACTTTACCAAGTGGATAGAAGCGAAGGCTCTAGCCAAAATAACGGCTCATAACATACGTCATTTCTAAAAGCGAAACATACTTGCCCATTTCGGCATTCCCCAAGTGATCGTCACTGATAAATGGACACAGTTCACGGACAAAAAGTTCCAGGAGTTCGTCACCCAACTGGGCACTAAACAACATTTTGTATCCGTCGAGCATCCCCAAACTAACGGGCAATCTAAGGCAGCGAACAGAGTAATCCTACGAGGCCTCAAGCGAAGGCTAGACAAAACAAAGAAGTAGTGAGTCGAGGAGCTACACAACATGCTCTAGGCCTACCGCACTATGCCTCATTCTTCAACCGGGGAAACCCCCCTTTTGCTTGGCATACAGGACGGAGGCGGTAATCCCCGTCGAAACTCTTGTGCCCTCCAGGTGTACCGAAGTGCCCTTGGACGAGGAAACGAACAGCGATGCACTGAGAGAGGAACTCGATCTCGTCGAAGAGGTCCGATCAGGAGCGGCCCTCCGCAAGGCTTCACTGAAACAAAAAATTACAATCAGGAACAATGCCAAAGTTAAACGACAAGAATTCCAAGTAGGCAGTCTCGTCCTAAGAAGGAATCACAAAGATTCCTATGAAGGCAAACTCGCCGCAAACTGGGAAGGACCCTACTGTGTTAGAGCAAAAACAAATAATGAGGCATACTACCTAGAACACCTTAACAGGGAAGAACTCGCTCGACCATGGAACACCAAAAAGCTAAAACAATATTACAGGTAAAGTCGTTACTATCGGCACGTTTCGCCCATGCGACGAACAGAACGTACCGACCATAGGCGCGCGTCCAAGTATAAGTGTTACGCCACCAAGGTAAATCTAAGTAGGGTTTTAGTCAAGAAGGAACAAAAATCGTGCCCGGTAGTGGTCCCTCGACCGCGCCCGTTGTCACCGAAGTACCATAAAAGGCATAACGCTTAGCTCACGATGGGAAGTTCACGTCGCAAACTCAAGCCACAAACGCGGCTTGAGGTCCGCTATCCTGCCCGGAAACTACCCAGGTCTTTCGAACAGTTTCCCTCACTGTCGAGCATCATTTGTCGAGCATACTCCGAAATATAACAATCAATCACTAAGGTATCTCATACGACGAGCATTAACCAGCGTATGACGCTTAGAAAAAATTAAACAAAGTATAAGCATACACGAAAATAAATATTAACATAAAACGACCACTAGGGTCGTAATTATGCATATTACATTACAAAGGGGTCAAGCCCCACAAAAATAAGATTACAAAAAAATGGCGTGCAGGCCAAAAGTACAGACAAAAGAAAAACTTCATTGCTCCATCTGCTGAAGATCCTCCTAGGTTGCCTGCGCGTACTCTTCACTGATCTAAAAAAATTCGGGGACGACTATCCTACCATCTTTAATGGTATAAAGAAACTCGGTGCCCTTAGTGGACAACTCAACACCGAGATTCATTATCTTCAGCTGATCCACGGTGTTTTGAAAGGCTTCCTCGCCAATGGCCATGCAATTGTCCTCGGCCTGGGTAATACGCGCAACCAGCTCCGCCCGGGTAGTCAACTTTTTACATCCTCGTTCTCATCCTAGACAGGGGTAGCAACGACTTTCAGCTGCTCGACCAGGTCTTTAGCAGCCTTCTTTTGGGCGACAAGGACATCCTTCTCCGCAGACATCTCTTTCCGACGCTTCTCACGGCTTCCTCGACGACCCTCTCTCGCTCTTCTTGGGACTTCTTAGCCTTCTTTTCTAGGGCCGCCACCGCAACCTGAGCTTTCTTCAACTCAGGCTCATTGTGAGAACCCTCCTCGGTGTAGACCACCATTATTTTCATAATCCTCATTAGAGTGGATCTGCACGAGCATGGCCTGTTTACTCGGAGGATCTATCTCCTCGAGCTTTAGGGATTCCGCCTGAGAAATTGCCAGAGAAGACCCCTCAAAGAACCTCATGTTATGCAGGCACAGGGGAAGCTCGAACTTGCTTTTCTCTCTCCCCCTATTGAGGTCCACAATCTCGTTCGGATGTGAACGTTTAAGCCTCGAGTTCACGGGCAAAGGCGGCGATTGGGCAACAGGTGGGGTGGGCGAGCAGGTACCCGACCCAGTTTGAGGAGGAGCCGCTCGCTGGCTGAGACGGCTTTTCCCTATCATCACCCCTCCCTTCATCTTCTCCTGAGAGTTCTTCACCATTCGCTCCTGAGTAGAAGACATATTACCTGCAAAATAACAGACATGTTAGCACACGAAAGAAGCAGCAACTCAGATAAACTAAGAGGAAATAGAAATCATACTCCATATATGAACAAATTCATTTCAACCAACAACGACACAATTGCAAGTATAAAAGTTCAATTCATTATCTCAGATAACAACTCAACTTTGGATGCCGCCTCCTTCATAGAGAACTTTACTCTTCTCAAAGCTTTTGACATTAAGATTCACTATCCTAAAGCTCTTATCATTAAGGAAGTGATTTGGTAGGATTGATTACAATGTAATGATGCTTACAGAAATACTCATGGAAACTTCATCTTGCCATTCTTTGAAAATCTCACTAGTCCCTCTTCGATTCAAACAGAGTTCAAAACAATGACCAGGAAAATCACAATTGCTCCTAAGAATTACTTGCAAAAAGTTTGTATTTGAAACATATTCTTTAATGATAATCCAAGATTTGTTCATATCATCGCAAATATGAACTTTTTTTTTTTCTTCACATTTATAGAGAAGGAAGTAATTAAGTAATTTTTTTTCTAATATAAATCTCACAGCTATTTCTCTACAATACTTTGTAAAAAATTAAGTTTGGAATACCTTTTTATAGCCTAATCTCCGCTTTTTATATAACTTATTTTTCTTTGCATTTTATTCATTACGTATATTGATAAACTTGTAACATTGTCATATAAACTTGTAATATAACTTTTTTTTAATGTTATTGTGGTTGTTATAATAAAAAGAGTTGTCATTATAATGGAAGAGTATATAATTTCTGAATATTTAATTACAACCATATACTCTTCGATTTCACTCTTCAATTTCAGAAACTTAAAACCCCTAAAATTGAATGAAATCCTAATATATTTTTGTTCTATACAAAATAGTAAAACCTCAGTTAATCTATCAAAATAAAAACTTTTTTTTTCAGTTATTTGATTTAAATCTGTTGGCTGAGTTGTTTGTGAGCTGTAACTGTAAGTAACTGAGAAAGTAAGCAATCTATCTGGTGTGTCGCGGCAGCACGAAGAAACATGCTGGGCACCTAATCAGTCCGTTAGAATTGCAAGATGAACAGCTTCTAAAACCACTTTTCTCCGTAAACACTTTGTGACTTCCGTTACACTCATCACACATTACGAATCTGAACCCTCCACAGCAATCACAACCAATCTGATTACTCTTTGGTAACCGTTCGATCAAACGATTTAATTTACCGTTATCGAGCATTTGTTTAACCTCCTCTACGCCGCCGATGTAAACTCCGCCGATGAAAACCCTAGGGAGTGTCACATTTTTCCGACCTAGAATCTCGTGGAGCTCGTCGCGGAACCGATCGTCGATAGAAACGTCGCGTTCGTCGATTGCGGCGCGGAAGCATCGGAGAATCGATCTGACGGCGCGGCAGTCTTCGAAGGTCCGGCGGACGATGCGGAGGCTGGTGTAGTAGACGACTATACGCTGGTCCAGGCACGGAGATCGTTCGAGTTTGGGAGGCGGAGGGGGAGCGGTGTGAGAGGCGGCCAAGGCGCGGAGGACGGAGGTCGAGATTCGGATCCGACGGAAGAGCGAAGGAGATTTCGGACTATTTGGTTCTGGCTCCGGTGTATCTTTGAGAATAGTTTGAACGTCTTTGAAAGATGAACAAGAGAAATCGACGGAGCGAGATAGAGAGAGTGAACGTGTCAGTGGCGGAGAATCGCGGCGGTGGCGCTGTGATTTTATCCACTGTGGCCACATTATGGATAGGAGAAGAGAGAAAAGGAAAGGAATTTGGGTGGAAAATAAAATATTGGAGTGAAGAATTAAGAGCGGATAGAATTGAGAGAGAAAAGGTGAAGGATCTGAGAATATATAAATGGGAAAATGTTATTCAGTCTTAATCCATGATTCGGTTCCCAATGATAACTTACCTACTATACCATGTGCGTTGTTCTTTCCTTTTTTTATATGGAAAATAGTTTGCAGTATAAGAATTTTAAACATTGATTTCTTTGAACATTGAAAGAAATACCACTGTGCTTTTTAGAAACAGCAGATAATACCAGGGTGCGAAACATGTACGTGGTTTTGCTAATTTCATTTATTACTTTATCAAAAAAAAAGTTAATTATATATATTATTAATATTTGATTGACCAAAAAATATTATTAATATTTGAAATTTTATATTATTAATCAATTATAACAATAAAAAACATAAAAAAAGTTTAATTTTTAAATATATTAAATAATCAATTTATATAATTCATATAAAATCCAAATTCATTGATCATTCAATATATCAAAAAATTCTCTCTTTTTTTTTTTTTTAATAACAATGACTAGAGGGATTGATTGATGAATTAAGATGTTTTAATTTTTTTTAATGAAATTGAATTCATCTTTTTTTTTTTTAGAATTCAGATTTTTTTAAAAGTAACAAAGTAGGGTGTTGGGAATTTGAAATTCCCTGCAATTTGATATGCAACTATTAACTAAGTGGCTTAACATTGAATTCATATTTAGTTGTAAGAAATAATATTAAAGAAATTAATAAAAATTGTATTTTAAATATTTATGCATTTGAAAATGTTATTTAGATTTTTTATTTTTATAAAAGGAAAATAATATTATAACATATTTTAATAAAAGTAAAATAAATGTACAGAATAATATAAGTTGACAATTGATATTTTATTGAATAATTAAAATTTTGATATTTTATTTATTGAAAAATATTCAAAAGTAGGAAAGTAATACTTTTATTAATCATTCATAAAAACAAATAAATTTGATAAGGATCAAAAAGATATACTTTAATGATAAAAGCATTAAAAAAAAGTCTTTAACCGAATCAACATATATTAATAAATAATATATATTTTTATTAAGATATAGTAACTTACTAGCTTGTAAGTGGATATTGATATTTCATTTTACTAAGGATATACTTATTATTAATATTAGAAAAAATGAGTGATTGGGTACAAATTTTAGGCTGCCAACCAATTTCGACCATAAATTCTATCAAATTAGACTAATTTTTTAAAATTTATATGACATAGTAAAATAATATATTTTTATTAAATGTTAGTATAAAATATTTTTACACTGACAATACATTTTTTTTAACCTCTTAATTCTGATATATTGAAAATATGATAGGTTCGAGCAATTTAACCGATTAAATAGAGAACTCAAATTTTATTTAGTTTATTTGACATTAGAAATTAGCTTGCAATAAAATCGGAAAGATCACTTAAGAGACATATAAATTGAGAAAATATGTGATTCACCTTATTCTCCAAATTCCATTGTATTAGCTTTTCTTTATAATTTTTTAATTAAAAAAATTTAATAAAAAAATTCTATTAAAAATTTATATATTATGTGTGATTTGTGACACACTTACACGAAATCACGTGGGAGATTGCACGTGTTAAAAACTAAATATTATATATTTTTATATATCGAGCATTTTGCTATTCAAAATATTGAATTGTCTTTGAGGATATAAAATAATAATTGTTTTGGGTTAGTCTTTATTAAAAGACTAAATCCATCTCAAATTCACTCTACTTGATTTAATGTATAAAAATTAACATGAAAATTAAGATATGTTTTATGATCTAAACTTTTCACTATATTCTTCGTGAATCTTAAATTGACTTGGGTGTTGGAGTGATAATCTTGCAGGTGCACCTCGCGCCACTGCGTCGAAGATTAACACCGCCAATTCAAGATATTCAGAACAGTAAACTGTATCTAATTCTGGTTCTTGAACGGAACATTGGCGCCGTCTGTGGGAATCAATTTTTGGTTATTGCTAAATTCCATTTCCCGATCAATCTCAACCTAAAATCAAATCTCTACATGAATCAGACAGAGTAGAGATGATATAAATATGATAATCATGTCTGAGATCTTCAGTCCATCTCCTTAAGTAATTGTTCACCAGCTATCACTGATCGACGAGTTCCACAATGTTGTGTCCTCTAGCACCTGTCATTTGCTAGATTGCTTTCTACTTACGACATGAACTAGCGATCAATGAAGCGGAGATCGATAGGAGTTAGGTTTTCTAGATCCCAAAAAGATCAATGGAATTCTAAATTTTGATCTACCTCTGATTCTTGCGGCCATCATCGTCGATCAAAACCTGACATGATTCCTTGTAGATGACGGAAGTTTGTGCAACATCCTCTACATAGAGACCCTAGAATCATTAGGTATCTAACAAATATATGTGAATCTGTATAGTGAGGGAGATATATTAGCTTTCAACGATTCAATTACTTGTCCTCAAGAAACGACAGTTCTGACATTGGCAATTGGAGAAGGAACACGTGAATGGAAGGTAATCCCCAAGTTCCTTGTAGTCTCGTGCGAAAGTGCTTTCAGAGGTATCCTAGGAAGATTCTTATTGGCGAAGTTAGATGTGGTGATGTCTCCTATCCATTTGAAACTAATATATCATGATGTGAAGGAAGGTAGACCATTATTAGCGCCGACCTAGAAGAAGCCAAGTGAATCCTAGCACGTATCCAGGGAACATTCTTGCGTTAATATCGGGGGAAGAAGAAGATTGGGATGATACTCTTACCTTAGACCTAGATGCGCACGAATGGGAAGTTAGGCCCACTCCAGACGGTAAGTTTGAGTTCATCCATCTCACCGATGACCCTATATGGTCGATGAAGATAGGATACATGATTTCTCTGGAAGTGAGATTGATGACTTATCGGCAAGTGTACTGATAGTGTCGAAGTAATACTAAAAGATAACGTCTCCATAAGGATTTCTATTTAACAAAACTACAATTGTGCAAATAATAAAAGTAACTATTGCGGGGGGGGGGGGGGGGGGGGGGGGGGGGGGGGAGGGGTGTTAAGTTTTAATGCGAAAATTAAACTTGTTCTGAAATTAAGGCGAGAAAGCGACTGGGTATTGTGTGAATCCATTGTTTATCCCCTGTTGATATTTAATGCATTATATGAATGGTAATGTCGTTATATTTTCATGGTGAACTCACAAAACGACTGTACATAATCCCTTTGTGTACAACTCACTAACTTCTACTAGAGGTATCTTATCCCTATTCAACTGGCGTAAGTGAAGTTAAGCGTTGTTACAATACGTTAATTCAAATGCCATTACTAGCAGTATTTATCCCTATTCAACCTGCAAAAGTAGATTAATTACCATAATTTAATCTCAGAGGCTTAGGGTCAGTAATCCCTAGTGGCCTAAAATCGTGTTATTAACGCGTTCACAAATGATAAGCCTTACGAACAAAGACAATTAAATAGAAACGTAAATTCAATTATCCATATAACATGAAATTAAACATATCATCCAATAGGTTCCAAACAAGTTCATAAACCAAAACCTAATCTATAGGAGTTTAGCTACTCATAATGATATAAAGAAATACCAAGTAATAAGATGAAGATAACATGTGAATTCCTTGAAGAGTTTGGCCTTCAATGCTCCTAAATCATCCTCCTGATACCTTTTGTTGTTACTATAGTCAAAATCAAAGAACCATTGAAAAGACGACAAAAATCTCCTTTTAAAGCTGTCAGAACGCATAAGAAAAGCCCAAAACAAAGGCCCATCATGCCTACGATGAGAAGTGTCGCGCCTGCAGTGGCTATTATAGTTCCCACAATGAGATGTGATGCAGTGCCATCGTGCCCATGATGGGGCCCGAGAAACCCGTTGGCTTTTCGTCCTTTTATGCCTTTTTTCACCAATTTTTACTAAGTTTTTTCTCCACAATTGGTTATTCTAAGCACTTCTTTGGCACTTTTTCTTTGTATAAGATCCATATTTGACTGAAATTGCTCCAAATTCTTTTCGAAAACATGTAATGACAGAGTGACATCAAAGATCCATGTTAATTGAATGTCTTCAGGAGAACCCATATATCTTCGCTATCTCCCCATACGAGATACCCGACATTGATCCCATTATGGCATGCCATTAATTGAATGTAGACACTAGTGCTCGATACGTCTCTCAGCGGTAGAGGATACAATTCTAGAAGAAGGATGAAGCCATTGCGAGCACAGTGAAAGGTCTATTTGATGCTCAATTCATCTCTAAGGAAAAGTGTATAAAATAGAACTCCAATGTTGTTCTAGTCAATAAATCCTAGAGGAGGTGGAGAACTTATGTTGATTATACATATCTCAACAAAGCTTGTCTAAAGGCTTCTTATCTAATATCAAATATTGACATGCTTGTAGATAAATAGGTCGGTTACCAGTTGATATCCTTCCTTGATGCCTACTCCGGGTACAATCAAATACCTATGGTCGATCCCAACCAGGTAAAGACAACATTCATGATTGAGCATACCAAGAACCACTATAATGTCATCTCATTCATATTAAAGAATGTTGGTGCAACATACTAGAGGATGATGAATAAGACCTTCTGAGAGGAGATATGAGACATTGGAAGTGTACATGGAAGACATGATTTTGAAATCTAGCCAGGAAGGACTTCACGTTGAACATCTCTAGCAAGTGTTTAAGAGGGTCTGACAGTATAATATGAGACTCAACCCAGAAAAGTGAACTTTCAGTGTGATTGAGCATTGAAGTATCATGCTTGCAGGAAAACTAGAAAGTCTTGATCAGGTTAGATTGAGCAGGAAGTCCTAAACAAGATGTTTAGGCAAGGAAGTCACATGCTTGAGGGCTTAAGCAGGAAATCTAGATTTGGATAGATTGAGCAGGAAGTCTTGAACAT